TACTCCCTTTTGTAAAGTTAATTTGTTGACATATAAAACAAAAAAAGCTGAATCTCTTTTCATCTATATATAGTTTACCATTTCCACATAAACCTTGTCACACAATTGTCACACCTCAGAACCCAAATTCGGAGACATGGCAGACGCCTTGCACTCGTGAGAGAGTCCCACAAATGCACAAAGCTCGGAACTTATCATACCACAATCTGATACCACCAGAATCTAAAGATAAAGTTATAAAATTTGCTCTGATATCATAAAATCTCCGAATAACGTCTAGCTTGCAAGATCATGATTTATATCTAAAATTTCATATCCAATTACAATAGCTAGCCTTTTAACTCGTCACTCCCTTTGTTTTTCCCCGTCCTTGACTTTGCTTCCTAAAATGGTGGACAAGAAAAAACTATGAGATAACTCAGTAAATAAAATATGGATTACCCTTAATTAAACTTATTGCATGCCAACCAGTATAATCACAAAACACATGTACGAGTACGAAAATGAAATAGACGTCTCCTCTATAGGTCATGGCCAGTGTTATAAACCTCCCACTGACAGGCACACGATTTACTAGTTTATAATCCCACTAGCAGGATAACAGAAACGAACCGGTTCTATCAGTAACATGTCGACATGTGCTAGCGTTTATAAACCTCCCACTAGCGGGCACACGAATAACATGACCATATCGGAGACAAAACAGGCAAAAGTTAATAGGAAAATTATAATTCATAAAAAATTTACAGATCATCAGGACAGTTAAGTAAATTCCAAGAAGGCATGCTCAAATCAATAAAAAGAATAATAATTTCATTTTAAATCAATCATACTTGTGTAAAACGAGTTTAGTCCCACCACCACTTCAAAAACAAGCTAAAATGTGCTTTAAAATCAAAGGGCATTACCATAATTTACTTACCTCAAATCCGGAACTCAAGCCAAGTACTCGGGTGACAAAACACTTAAGAACCTAATCAAAATACCCCAGAATTAATACCATAGTATCACAAATTCAAAGTGAAAACTTCATTATGATCACCCCTAATCACGATACTATTTCTATTAGTCTCCATATAACTGGACATCTCCAAATTTGTTCTCAATATAACTACACATTTAAACCCTCCTATTGTTGGCCATTAGTGCGTGAACAGTACCCATGAACAGTAATTACGTAATGAACAGTAACTACAACTTCCAAAAATTGGCAAAACCATAGCTAATCTCATGGGATTTTCTCCAAAAATCACAGCAGCCAAAATAAACTAATTTTCTACATGAATTAAGCTAAATCATGGTCTAATTACTATCAAATTTCTCCACTATTTCCAGCAGATTTTCAAACAACATAGGCAACAATTAGATGGCTAAATTTCAACAATTAAATGGGTAAAATTTGGACTTAGAGAAGCTGCCACATTGTCACGCCCTAGAACCCAAATCTGGGGATGTGGTAGACGCCGTGCACTCGTGAGAGGGTCCTACAAATGCACAAGGCTCAGAACTTATCATATCACAATCTGATACCACAAAATCTAAAGATAAAATCTTAAAATCTACTTTGATATTATAAAATCCCCAAATACACTCTAGTTTACAAGATCATGATTATATCTAAAATCTATATCAATCTCGAAATGGCTAGCCTTTTAACTCGTCACTTCCCGTGGTTTCCTCGTCCTCAATTTCGCTTCTCGAAATGGTGGACAAGAAAAAACTATGAAATAACCTCAATAAGTAAATATGGAGTGCCCTTTATTAAACTTATAGCATGCCAACAAGTGTAAGCACAAAAAATGAATACAGTACGGGAATGAAATAGACGTCTCCTCTATAGGTCATGGCCAGTGTTTAAACCTCCCACTAGCAGGCTACACTTGAACGAACCGGTTCTATCAATTATCAATAACATGTCGACATGTGCTAGCGTTTAACCCCCACTAGCGGGATCATTAATAACATAACCACATCGGAGACAAAACAGGCAGAAGTTAACAGAAAATCATAATTCACCAATCACTTTCAAATCATCAGGACAATCAATTAAATTTCAAGTAGGCATGCTCAATTTACTACAAAGCATAAAAATTTCATTTCAAATCAGTCATACTTACTTTTGCATAAAACGGGTTTAGTCTCACCACCACTTCAAAAACAAGTCAAAACATGTTTTTTAAAAACTATACGGACATTACCATAAATTTACTTACCTCACTCGCATAAAACCAAAGACTCGATCTCAGTGCTAAACTGACAGAACGATCAAGAACCTAATCAAATATCCAAAGATTAATTCTATACTATCACAAATTCAAAGTGAAACTTCATTAAGATCACCCCTAATCACGATGCTATTTCTATTAATTTCCACATGATCGAACATCTCCAAATTTGTTCTTATATTACAAACTAAACATTTAAATCCCCATTAATTGTAAACAATTAGTGCGTGAACAGTGCTCGTGAACAGTGCTCGCGAACAGTAACTGCACTTCCAAAAATTGGCCAAAACACTAGCTAATTCATGGGATTTTCTCTCCAAAAATCACAGCAGTCAATTAACACTCAATCACATAAATTCCACTTGAATCAATGCTTAAACTTTATCCTAAAGCTACCGGAATTATCCCCCTAATTCAGCAAAATTCGGACAGCACATGAGGCATCAATTTATCAACCAATTTTTGAGAATTAGAGAAGCCAACCTACCATAATTTTCCAGCTGCAGAACCGAACATGACAGGGGGAAGAGGCCGGCGGCAAATCTGCAGGGGACTCACAGGAACTACCCAAAATTCAAGAACCAAGAGCAATTAAGGTAAAACCAAGTTAAATCAAGGCTTAAAGGAAAGATTAATGGCTGTTCTTACCGAAAAAATGCCCAGAAATCACCCACAATCAAGAGCAGCCGGCGGTGAGGAAGGAAGGAGCAGAGCAGATCTGGAAATTCCAGTAGGGGAGAAGGTTTCTAAGCTCAAATCTTGTTCTTGAACAAGAAAAGAAGGCAAAAATCATCAAGCTTCACCGGTTTCTCAAGAGGAAGAGGCGTCGGGGCTAGGCGTCGGGGCTAGGCGTCGGGGCTAGGCTTCTTTTGTTCGGCTGCAGGGGGACGGGAAAGAAGAGCAGACAAGCGGGCTGAAGAAGAAAGAAAGAAGGAAAAAAAAGAAAAAGAAAAGAAGCTGATCCTTATCCAAATTTTCCCTCTTTACGTCCCTCAAGTTTGGACATTTTGGCTATTAAGCCCAAAACAATATTTTTCCACAATTTAGTCATTAACTTAATGCTAAAATATAACAAAATTTTGGGGTATTACACACATACCACAATTTTCCAGCAAAACCGAAGCT